ACAAAATGAGATTAGCAAATCCACAACCTCCTCGTCCCCAAAAATGTACAAGAACAGCATTAAAAAGAAGCAGCAACTGAAAAGAAATGATCAGACCAGGTCCACAACCTCTTCGTCTCCCAAATGTAGAAGAATAGCATTAACAACCAGCAACTCAACGTTGCATGACACTTGGTTCTCTGCACTTTTTCATGCCGCAAGTGCATGAAGGTCAGCTTTTTATGAGCTATATAGTTTAACAGCATCAATTGGCCTCTTGCCTTGCTGGTAGTACTTGAAGAAAATTTCAGGGTAGTCTTTCACTGTCTTGTATAATCTAGGATTTTTGTCATTGATGAGCTCCTCTACTGGTCCAATCTCCTTTCCTACTTCTGGTGAACAGAACGTAGCCACGGAGATCCTCTCCTTCGCTGAGTTTGTCAAAGCCCTGTGCAACGGACTCTTGAAGATCCCATTGCTCATTACCTGCACTTATCCCCGTTGTCCATTGGGAAATGTTAATTCAGAAACGTCACCAAGCCACCAAAGTAGTCACTGAAGCTTGAATACGATGATTTAACTGTACAAATGCATAAAATAACATGTTAGCACTACCTCTATCTGATCACCGACATTAACTATAAGCGCATGAGGCCTGATAGGAACTCGAAACCACTGATTATCCTTGAGGAATTGAAGGCCTTCAACTTCTTCATCCTGCTGGAGTACGGTGATTGCTGAGCCATCGGCGTGTGGTTTGACTCCGTGAACAAGATCAGGCCTTGGACATGGGGGATAGAAGTTATATCTAGTATACATAACTGGCCTCTCTCCATATTGGTTCAGAAAACTGTTGTCTGGCAAGTTCAGTGCTTTTGCCATGGACTTGAGGAGAGTTTCAACTATCATTTTCACCCTTGTTGTATACTCCTCTAAAACTACCCTATTAGAAAAAGCAGCACCAACGAAAGCATCATGTCAATTCGATACTAGCATACTAGGTCATTTGGAAATGCAGGCATTTGCTGCAGACTGATTAAAAACATTGCTTTTGCCAAAAATTTAACTTAAAATTGAAAAATAATTACCTAAAGGATTTGGGATCTTCAGGCCAATATTGTAGCTTTCGGCCATCTTCTGGACTCACTAAAAGGTAAATCCTGTCTGTCCAATCCAGAGTTTGATTCTCATATAAAATCATATCATTTCCATAACCTTCAATCTCATTTGCTGCTCTGGCATACCTCTGCTTGTCTTTCATAGGGAGCTTCAAGAATTGTCTGCCATTCTCTCGCAGTTCATCCAGCAAGCAAAATTCTATTCCATGGTTTATAACCTGAAACTCTATGCCATTCTTTCAGTATCAACAAAGAAATTCTCTTGACATCCACAAGAAAGGCAGAGGAGAAGGTGTAAACATATTCGCAAAAAGAGGCAGCAATTTGAATATGAAAAAGTTATTGCGCTATTTTCCATATACTTTCAACAGAACCAGGAGATGAAACTTTGCATATCAAAACTTCCGAGAGGCAGGCTAAAGGTGGCAAAAAAGACAAACTTTGAACAAGTCAACTAAAAACAACAACAATATCCGAGATCAGTAAGTGCAGCAGGTTATTTTGACAATGAATTTGAACCTGAAAGCAACCCCATGAACTCAGAGCTGACCGAAGTTTTACGAGTTCCTCGTCTGTTGTAGCTGATGAAGATGACAAACGACTAAGATCAATAACTGGGATGTCCATCAACGGAAGAGAGGCTGTTATGAGCCCATAAGGAGTATCTTTGCATATAAATCTCTCTGGAATTTCATCACCATCCTCTGCCAATTCCTGAACCAGCCTGTAGCGGTCAAGTTCTGAGTCTCCAGACATGACGGTGCCGCTTGGTGCCTTGCAAAAGTTACAGATATGTATCAAAAGTATCTAAAGCCAAAGCCAGGCTTCTAATAAGGTGTTTAATTTGGAAGGTAGAAATTTACATTTAAATTAGAAAAGGGCTAAAAAGTCAAATACTGATGTCAATTTTTAAATATGTAAAGATAGCAGGAAGTGAAATAATAAGTTTACAATCATGGCATGATTACCATACGATTTTTTTTTTTTTTTTTTCAATGTTGCTTTCATCTATAATATTCTATATTATCATAATCTAAAAGAGAGATCCAACTGGATCTAAGAGATAGGGGGACTGAACTATTATCGGATCAGACGGATACATTGAAATTTTTTAAGAAGCTACTTAATGTGGCAATTGGTGGGATTGCCTCCCACCCCACTAAGTTTTAAATGGTTTAATGGTGGCTACCAACCCAAAGGCCGGTGGTTAATTATCATACGACTCTCACGCAGCTGAAATGTGGTAGTATTTCTTTACTAGCAATCCGTGTCAAACAGTATCTGGTTTAGCTTGGAGCGCGTAGAGAAATTGATCAACTCAAGATATCTTTTAACTAATTAATGAGCACAGTTAATCTTAGTCACTAATTAACTATTGCAATATACAAGATTTACCATATTCTAAGCATTGTTCTATGAAAGTTTTAGCTTAGTGTATGACACAGTCTTCGGTAGGGATTATATAACATTTCCTCGATTTCTGAAAACTGTGGATGAATCGTCACATGGTGATGGAATGGCCCAAAGTTTACACCTTGATCACCTTCCTGCACGGCCAAATGCGAAGCGACTAGAGATGCTTCTTGTACTCTTCAAATGGCATATTTAGACGGAAAAAGCAGAAGCTGAGACCAAATAGAGCAGGCATTACTTTTCCCAGGAAAGGGCGGAGAGGTACCTCGAATCCATAATGTGAAAGATAAATGTTTATGGATTTGATCCCAGAAGTAGCTGAACATCAAATTTCCACTCATTCTACTAGAAACTAAACTTTTACAGTTACAATTGCTACCTCTCCTTTCTGAAAGCACTCACAGATTTATAGCACCATAATTTTTGACATTTCTATACAATCTGGCATGTTTCTCATCTAACAGTCCGTCGACCGGACCAATCTCCAAGTCCTGCTCTGCTTCGTTTCAGATGGACACTGATATCCTCAGCTTTTCAGAGTTTGTCACTGCCCTGTGCACTGGACTTGTGATTATCCCGTTACTCATTATCTGCATACATGACATGACTCATCAGACAGAGAATTCGAATTACGCATCTTCCTTCAAGTTTAGTTCTCTATTTTGCTGGTTTGGATTGACATAAAGGACAGATACTGAGGGAAATAGATAGAGTTTGACGTATGAAGAAGTATAGAATTAAATTTCTGGAAAAACTATGGTCTACTTGGTTGTAGATGGAATCAGATTAAGCCTCGTCAAAACTGTCACATCGTCAATTATGAAAAGGATCAGAGCAAATTTTCTAGGAGTAAAGATAAGAAAATGCACATGAAAACAGAGAGGAATAGCTACCTGCATTTGATCACAAATATGAACAACTAAAGCATTAGGTATTGTGGGAACTTTGAACCACTGACTGTCCTTGAATATTTGGAGACTCCAACTTCATCATCTTGCAATAGTACAGTGACTCCAGATTTATCAGAGTGAGGTTTGAGGCCAAGAACTTTATTTGGTCTCGGACAAGGTGGATAAAAATTCAATCTTGTAAGCAATAATGCACGTTCACCAAACTGATTCAGGAAGCTGTTTCATCCAAATTCAACAGCTTTAACTTCATTGAATATTCAAATATTCTCCCTGCAGCAAAACGCAATTTCCTTTAATTCAGGATGACTCAGAATTGAAACTGTAGGCATCACAAAGAAGAATCGAGTGAATTACTTCACAGCATAACAGTGGCAGATCAAAAGTAGGCGTCATCCTTCAACATTTGAATGTAAAAAAAGCACACAAGTGATAAACGTGAATGAAGTAATACTAGTTGAGCATACTCTTGAGGGAAAATGATAATCTAAGTGACGAAATAGCAAAAGAGAGTGTTTATAGTATATTAAAATGTCCACTTCTGATTAAAAAGAAATGCATGAAAATTCAGACAATTTGCCATTACAAAAGATATGCAATATTATAAATAAGTCAAACCTGAAAACAGCCCCATGAATTGATGAGGGCTGATTTTAATTTCTCTAATTCTTCATCAGAAGATGGCTGATATCAATCGTTGGTATGGGAGCTGATAGAGGAGAACGTTCCACTAACACAAATTGACTTTCTTTAACAAAGCAACGAGGTGGTGGCTCGTCACCATGAAGGAACATCTCCTGATCTGTCTAAGGTGAAACCATCTCTCTCTTGACTGCACCATTGGCCATCTTACCAGTCTTCAAACTTCAGAAGTAGGAGCAAGTGCCATATACACCCGGATTTACTATCTTATAGTGTAGAAGCAAAACATATACAACAGACAAAGTCATCCCATCAACTTTCTTGATCTGCACGAAGAATGTGTGAACTAGCCGTACATGGAGCTTCATTTATCAACGAAAGTTAGGACCTCTTCAGCAATTTGCTACTTTTTTGTTTGTTTTTCTCCTGAAAGCTAGCTGCAACCAACCACATTTTCATTTTTAATTTTTTTTTTATCACCGGCGAGTCTTTTTCACATATCTTTTTTCTTCCAACCTTCTTATTCTTCTAAAGGATCCGATCTGTAAATCACTTGCATGTGGATCACAAAGTAAATCACTTCGTTGTTTTCTAGTTACGGGATTACCCCCTGACATTCATTCATCATAATTTAGTACTTCCAACAAATTTTCACTCTAATGCAACCGAACTGTAAATTCATACAAAAATTTTTGAAAAAAAGGCTGTAAATTCATTCTTAATAAGTTAAAAGAGGAAGCTGCACCTTTGACTTTGAGTAGCAGGCAAGAGGAAATTAAGGTGAAGATGTATCTTATTACTAATCCAGTTCTCGGAAATGGATGGAGTTTCAGATTCTGATCGATATAAATGAAATAGGGTTCTCGAATTTGGTTTACCCAATTGTGATGTTACAACTTACAATTCCTCGTAATACTTCCACTGCCACCATTAAAGAGAATGTACCACCAAGTTGGAGGATGTAAAACACCTTTCTCCAAATCATTCATAGGGAAATAATTGAGCTAAATTGGCAAAATAAGTATAACTAATCTGCAAATACCAACTTCCGTAAATGGTTATGAAAGCTGAGAATGGTTATGAAAGCTGAGAGTTGAAATCATGAGCGCAAGCTATAATGATATTATAGGCTTGCTCATATATCACATAGCAATATTTTACTCGTATGGAACCAGCAAATTTAAAATATGAGCAGGAAACTCATTTTTTCAGCGCATCAATCACTCTGTTCCCTTCACGATGCTCAGGGTAAAAGGCACCAACATAATCTACAACTGGTCTATATAAACTTGGCCTTTTTTCATCAACAAGTCCTTCTGCTGGTTCAATCACATTTTCCTTATCAGGGATAAAGAAAATGGATATGCTGATCCTCTCTCTTTCTGAGTTTGCCACAAACCTATGCAACAGGCTCTTGAATAGGCCATTAGTCATTATCTGCATGTATAAAAAGGAAGACCTGTGAAATCCCAATTCATGAAACCACAAGGAGACAATGCCTAGTGTTTCTGAATATCTACGCACGGTCACGGATGGTTTATCAAAGCTGCAAGAAACACCTCATAACAATATTGATACAATTTTAGTACCCTTTTCTTCTTTTGTGTCAGCATTGATTGGGAACTTCTTGTACAATGTAGGCTAACATTAGTGAGTCTTTCAGGACTTCAAGGGCTTAAAATTCTGAAGTTTGCAGGGGAAAAGAGGGATTAGTAATTATACCTCAGCTTGGTCCCCAGGCATAACAAGAATAGCAGGATGAGCAATGGCAGGAAGTCTGAACCATTTATCACCTCTTAGGACTTGAAAGGCTTCCACTGGTTTGTCTTGTAAGAAAAAAGTCAATGCCGATGCATCCGAATGCGGTTTGGCTTCAACTTGGGGTCCTGATCCTGAACACGGATGATGAGAGTTAAATCTTGATAGCACCCTTGGGCTTTCTCCATATTGCCTCAGAAAGGTATTGTCTTCCAAGTTGAGCGATTTTGCCATGGCCTTGAGGATGAGCTCATTTAATTTTTGTAACTTCGCCCTACACTCGAGCAAAACTTTCCTACGCAAAAAAAGTTACTATTTGTATGAATGAGAGGAATTGAAGGGATTTTTTTCTCTCTGTACTATCAGATTTAATTAAATAACCATTTAAAAAAAAAAGCTACTTGAATTTGATGATGGGGAGCTGGTGGTCTATGTTGGAAATTTATCATTTTTGGGAGCCTATATGATCTTGCGATTTCACTTTGTAGTTACCAGATAGTAGACGAGCAAAAATTACCTGAAGTCGTTAGGATTGTCAGGCCACAATTTTAGTGTCCTTTGATCTTCAGGATACAAATCGAGATACAACACGTCATTCCAATCAAGGGTCTGATGTTGAGTGAGAATTTGATCATTTCCAAAACCAGCAAGATCAAGATCACCAGCTGGTCGTGAATATTTGTGCTTCTCTTCCGGTGGAAGTAAAAAAAATCGTTTAGTAACATCATACAATTCCTCAAGGGGTGAAATATCTATTCCGTGATTAACAACCTGAGAAAACAATACATCACAGTTGAACTTCTAATGAATCATCTTGCGTTACTAGAAAACAACAGAATTAGCACCAAGAATCTAGGATATATGTGGAGGATATAACCTGAAAGAAACCGCACACGGTCAAAGCAAACCGGAGAATCTTGAGCTCCTGAGTGGCTTCAGGTGATGATGGTTCACTATTGAGGACGCAGAGGTCAACCTTAGGTATCTGTAGCAGTGGAAAGATGGCTGCTGGGTTGTGGATATAATTTTCCCGCGGGGCATTGACTGTGGAGGGTAATACGTTGTAAGCCATTTTGCAGACCTGTGAATGAATGACCCTCTGCTATAGTTCTTGATTATATAAGAATAATACTAATATATAGACGTGGCTGGGCAGGGTGCTACTGATTTTAGTCAAAGTCAAATTAATTGATTGGTAGTCAAACAAATTGGTGAGCTACTTAGTAGTTTCTGGGATGTTCACTTCACTGCATTGCAATTCTACAGTTCCAAGTCACAGACGTCGCATAAAAGGAGGGCAGGGCAGAATAGTTTGTCTTATTAATACGATTTTCTCTCTGCCCGAAAACTATTTTTTTTTTCTTTTTTGTAGCAACCTTTTTAACGTCTATATTTCTCAGGTCCGTTTGGATTCCTTGTTTTTGTTTCTGTTTTTGAAAAACTATTTTTCACATTCCAAATGTTACAGTAAATGTGTATTTTCAAAACAACTTCAAAAACACCATATCCAAACATTATATCAAAAACAACTCCATATGTATATTTCAATTATATATTATATATATATATGTATTATATTAATATAAATTGAAGTATACAAATTAAAAATTATATATTTATATATTATATATTATATAAATATTTATATACATTAATATTATACATAATATAATATAATATAATATACATAATATGTAATATTGTATACATAAATGTATAAATATTTATACATAATATATTATGTACATTATATTATAATATATACATTATTAATGTATAATATTATTATGTATATTATTGTGTATAATAATGTTATGTATAATATACAATATACATAATATGTAATAATGTATAAATGTATATTATGTATAATATATTATATTATGTATATTATATTATATATATACAATATTATGTATATTATACAAATTGAAAATTATACATTATATATTATATGTTATATAAATATTTATTTAATGAAATATACAATAAATATTACAAATTGAAATATTACATAAACACCATATTTATAATATTATAATATTTATAATTAATATTAATGTATATTATATATATTAAACATTTATATATTATATATTTATATATTTATTTATACATATTATAAATATTTTATTTTATTTAAAAATATTTTTATATATTTATATAAATATTATATATTATATAAATTATATATAATATAATATATATTATATATTATACATTTATATAAATTTACATTTATACATAATATATATTAATGTATATTTATAATATACATTTATATTATGTATTATGTATTATATATAATATAATACATTTATAATATATTTATACATTTATATTAATATACATAATATTAATTTTACATTTATACATAATATTAATATATATTTATAATATATTAATTTATACATTTATATAATATTCATTTATAATTAATACATTTATAAATATATTTATATTATGTATTATATATAATATAATACATTTATAAATATTTATAAATAAATATATAAATATATTTATTTATAAATATTTATAAATGTATTATAAATGCATAAATATATAAAAATATAAAATTATAAAAATTATAAATTATAAAAATACTCAAAATATGTCTTAAAAATATCTCTAAAAATAATCCAAAAAACATCTACAGTAAAAGTTTTTCATATAGTTTTTGAAAAACAACTAATCCAAATTCCAAACGGACTTGTATTTCAAAAACGAGATGCTACAGTGCTGTTTTTGAAAAATAACTCCAAAAATAATTAATCAAACGGAGTTTTAGGTCTTAAATACACTCAAGTTAGGAATTGCGGGGAATCAATTAATTAAATTTCCAAGAATTCAGCACTTCAACCGGCGCCACAAATCAACAGTTCCGTGGCAACCTCCGGCTCATTCGTGGATCGTTTCTTTAGTGCTCATTTTTTCCTTGACTCTTGGACACTTTGCACGGTTCCCAGACTGCAATTTTAGCTTTCAATTTTCTTTCTTCTTCACAGTCACAAAAGCTTAGAAACTCCTTAATCATGGCTCGACTTGTAACTTTGAAAGCGGACAAAAGTTTATGGGATGAAAGCCACTACAAAACACACCACCAAGCTTCAACTTTTAACTCCTATCTTAAGCAGTATTATCCCTTGAATGTTCTACCTTTTAAGCACACGCAGCATAACCTCAAATTCAAAGTTACTTGCAGAGTCAGGGACAAAGAAATAGAAAATTTAGTAGAAGCCCAGAAAAAAGTAAACAGGTTTCGAGCAATTGAGGAATTGGACCAGAAGGAGGGACTTGTGAAGACTTTGGAGGATGAATTTGGAGAAGGAAAAGGGGATAAAAGTGTGCGTTTTGAATGGAATTGGCCGCCATTGAAGAATATACCTCAGAGATATAAGCTCATCGGAACAACTTCTCTTGCCTTTGTTATTTGTAACATGGATAAGGTAACTTGCTGAAGCTTCTCTTGTTTCTTCTTCAGCTGATAACAGGATAACTAACTGAAGCTTCTCCATTTTTTTTTTTCAAATAAGAGCATTTGCAACTGAGGAATTTCTTTTGGTTGTTTATCAGAATGATCTGTACATGTGATAATTGGTGGGATTCCTTTGGTCAATACTGTTAGCAACGATGCTAATATGGTGATGGCTATAGAAAATGTTGGTCATAATTCATTGCATTTTGATGTCCAATGTTGAGCTCATCTTTTTGCTTATTCAATAGGTGAACTTGAGTGTTGCTATAATACCAATGTCTCATCAGTTTGGGTGGAATTCATCAACTGCTGGACTGGTTCAATCATCATTCTTTTGGGGCTATGCTTTGAGTCAGTTGCCTGGTGGATGGCTGGCAAAGATTTTTGGTGGAAGGTTATTTTTCAAAGACCCACTGTAGAGCATCATAAGATAATGCTTTAGTATGTTGTTGTATTCTTAATGCACCTACAAGCTTACCAACAAATTTACATACTGCATCTAATAACAGGATATCGGGTTATAAGTTTGTTGGGTGAGAGATAGTATACTCAGATGTATTAAACTTAAAAGAAAGTTAATTTTTAAGGAGCTAGTTTTGAAAACTAAAATTGTGTTTTCAATTTGTTAAAGTCTCAAAGCTTCACGTCTGGAAGAGAGAGGTGAACTTTTGTCTAGCTGCTAGTGTCTTGTGATGCTGTACTGATTGGTAGGCATTCTCTTTGCAGAAAGGTACTTGAGGTTGGTGTTCTGGCCTGGTCATTGGCCACAGCTCTAGTTCCTTTTCTTGCTGGGTACATGCCTGGACTGGTTGCTTCCAGGATTTTGGTAATTCCATTTCCATATCTCCATTTTTGCTATAGTCTTCAAGTTATCACTTATACATAAATATGTGCTTGTGAAGCTACATGAGATATAATTTGAATAATCAACCAGGGCCGGTCATCATTTTGGTTATTTTGTAGTTATGGAAAATTTGTCTGCCTTTGGTATTATGTGCTGATTTTGTTAATTTTATTTAGTGCTCAGGTTAATTTCCTCCTGTTCTTTGTAGTTACCATCAACTCATTGATCTTTCATTGTCAATAATTATATAGGTTGGTATGGGAGAAGGTGTTTCACCATCAGCTGCTACCGATCTGATTGCCAGGCATGTATGACACTGAGCAGAGCTTAGAGGCATGCCTTTTTTATGGAGTTTGTTCATTAAGTTGTATCTTCTTTTGTATGATGATTAACTTTAGAAACTATGATGTCCTTTATGTGTTCTTCTGCCCTTTTCTGATATTGTTGCTTTGATGCATCTTATTATTAGTCTTGAGCATGATAATTCAAGTTCAATTTGAACTTTTGCAGGTCAATACCACTGGAAGAACGCTCACGGGCAGTATCATTTGTTTTTGGAGGCTTGAGTTTTGGAAGTGTTATGGGGTAACTTCCACATAGAATATGATCATCATTGTGTTTAATGATATGTGTTCTGATATCAATATTCAATTCCTTTTTTTTCCTTGAAAAATATGGTATCTTTCCAGAATGAGGTTTATTGTTACAATTACAGGGTTTTCAATGAACTTTTGTTAGATCCAGGCTGTGCCGCGAGTATACTACTTGCATGCTTCTTTCTTTATCTTGAAACTTTCTTCTTTGGCTTCCCCTTCCACACCCTAATCGAAAAGAAGAAAAGAGACTCTGAAACTATGAAAACAGTTTGCAGCCTCAACCTGTAGTTTAAGGTGGTCTTTGTTTCATCAATCTCACTCAATTTCTCATATTTGAACTGCCTCCTTCAAATTCTTAATAGCCTGCTCATACATTCCTGAACCTGGACAGTTCTTCTGTTTCATGATGAGCCTGACTAGGAAATCTGTGACGCTGTCAGGAGTGTGCAAAAAATTTTTTTTTTTTTTTTTTGGAATTTCTTGTCAGTAATTTTTACTTATGTGAACCTACAGGCTTCTTTTGGCTCCTCCATTAATCCAAAGTTATGGATGGGAGTCTGTGTTTATCATATTTGGCTTCCTTGGCATAGCCTGGTAAGTGGCAAGCATGGGTGATTATTATTTTCTTTTCTTCTGCGTAAGGATTAATGTAGGTTATTTTTTTATGTGTTGGTCTGCCATAATGATTAGGATTGCTGGTCATTACCATTCTAATACCCACTAGAATATTTCAACAAGTTATTTCTTTACATTATGAGCTCTTATTACTTAAAATTTCTTTTATTTGGGCGTGCACATTTTTGGAACTGAAAACTTTTTAGATCTTTTCTGTACCTAGTTGTTCAAATGCTCATACCATGACAACAATTCTGCTGTCCATTTTTTTGCTTCACTTTCTATATCTGTTGTTGGTTCATTAAACATTAGATTTCTTGTGTTATTTTTAGAGCAAAGTATCTAATCCCTGCTGCAGGTTCTTGGCATTTCAGTTTGTTAAGGATGATGAACCTTCAGCAGGTGGTGCATCAACATCAGGTTAGCAAAATTTGCCTTTCTTCATCGTGCTATCACAAAAGTTCTTCTTTCTTTCTGTAAATGACCTGGGTTGCCATATTTTGAATGTAAAAATTCATTTTAGATTGAAGTTCACATTGCAATAATGTAGCTAATGTGTCCATCTCATGAAATTCAATGCTAAACATAATGAACTAACCTGGACCACTCAAATTCATTAACCTCTTCCCCCACCCCCCAACAAAAATTCCACAAAGAGAGAGAGAGAGAGAGAGAGAGAGAGAGAGAGAGAGAGGCTCAAATTTGTGAACCTCTAACGAAAATAGAATTGTATCTGTAATGGGTCTTTTGACCCTGCAGTGGACCAAAACAAAAAGTGTATTCCTTAAAGTTGCATGAAAGCTGTTAATACATTTCCACTTTCTGGTTTGTTATCTTCCGGCTTGTAGTAACAAAAGTGAGAGTTAACCGTGTAAAAAGGTTATTTACTGAGATATTGCTCTTCTTATTGGAATTCTAAAAGATACTGTTAATTCATTGGGCTTCCAAAAGTACAGGAATAGGCGACTTTCATTCTCCAGAAAATTTCTCCCTCCCTCTTCTTCGCTTTCCTACAAACAATTCCCCTATGACTATGATGGGAATCTGGGGGTTTTGCGCCTCCACCCTTCAAACATCTCCTATGGCAAGTATGGAGTAAAAAGGGAGGCTTTTGGAAATTTGGGGATGCAAAGACTGTGGGAAAGGTAAAGCCCAATACACGTTAAACACTTCTAGTGCTGTGACTGTCAGGAGTATCATCCAAAGGCTGAGGGAGCAGATTGGATGAATTCGGAAACCTGTAAAAGCTAATAATATTGTTTTAGATTCTAAAAGAAAAAGGTAATATTCAAGTAAATAACCAGCATAAAGAAATAACTGCAAGAATCCTGTCTTGCTCAAAAAGCATGATGTAGCATTGCTTAGTTTCCATATTATGAGAGGTTCCCTGCTTAAAGTTATCTAATATTTGGTGATAATGTCTATATGTAAAAGCAACAGCACACACCATGATGATTTAATGCTTGTATTGGCCATGCTTGACTACGATTCCATGTTGAATTTAACACTTAGCATCACTTTGTTTAAATCCACATATATGAATATGTATAACCATTGTGTCATATCGATAACAGTTTCCAATATCCAGGGCATCTATTCTTTTCCGAAAAGAATTCATGGATTGGGTCCTTGGAAGAATTGGAAGGATCACTGAAGGTATATAGCCTTTTGTCTTTTGCCACATCAACTGCAGGATCATTTTACCGTAGAAAATGTCTATATTGCATTCATACAAGTTGGACTACAATTTAGATATGATAAGGTTAGCATTATTTAGACTTGAAATGTTACAGTTATGGTTGAACACCATAGATTCAAGTCTTGAACTGGTTTGGCTTAACATTAAAGTTCTGGAGTTTCTCTTCCATAAGAGTTGCTCATTTCATTCTGGAATTAGATTGCTTGCTTACAGTGCGGCTTAGGACCAAGTTGCACACTAATCTTCTCCCCAGTAATCTTTCAAGTAAACTTTTCTTATTAAGAAACTTATGAGAAACATATGCAGTGCCCCATAATGTTAATCGGTGTTGCAAGCAATGGTCTGGTGGGTTGATTTTAGTTTTTTTTTTTGGTTCTTGCTTACTTAATTAGCAATTTTTTTATATATACATATATTACAGGATGTCCCTTGGAAGGCCTTTTTCAAGAGTAAAGCTGTGTGGGCCATGATATATGCTCACTTTTGTGGAAGTTGGGGTCACTATACTTGTTTATCCTGGCTTCCAACTTATTTCAGGTATCTTTGAACTGGAATATTTCTGAAAAATGATCTCAGCATTTTTTTTCCTTTGAAGACTTTTTTCATTGCTTTATGAGTGAAAGCCTTAGTCTACTTTCTAAAATACATAACAAATGCTAGTAAATGTGATCCCTCAAGCATAGGCTGTTATGTATACAAATAGTATATGACCAAAAAATTCAAGTGATATAAGACCAAGACTTTCAGTTGCTGGATGGGAAAAAGTAAATCTTTACATTGAAAAAGAGTGTTTCTGGAGCTGATACACTTTTTTTTGCTATCAATGAATGACATCAGTTGTTAAAACATAGGCTTGCAAGGGACAGCAACATGCAGCCAGAGAAAGTTGTTAAAACACAGAAAGTTGCCAATTTAAGCATAGGATTATGAACAACTAAAGAGTCTTGTGTAATCTTATCTTTCTTTCTTCAGATGGAGTAAACCCAGTGTAGTTAAAGCTCCATTTGTCTCCTTTTTTAACGCTCTTTTATGTTTGAACTCAGAGACTTAAATTTTGAGAGTGACACATAATAGATATCTAACAAAGTTGTTTCCAACTTGCCATGCACAAGCACTTGGTACATAACTTGTAAAAACCTTTTTATTTTCCTTGATGGTTATGTTCTTTGTTCTTCTTTCATTCGACTCATGAAACTCAAGAGTGTGCTACATTCGTTATTAGTTCATCATCATTCTATGATTTATATTTGAAGAAACTGAATTGTCAGCTTGTGTAACCTGCAGTGAGGAGCTCAGTCTTAATCTGACAGAAGCTGCATGGGTGAGCTTATATGATCTTAGTATCACTGAATGCTTACTACAATGATGCATTCTAGTTGTAGGATAGATATGCAAACATAACATGTAATGAGGACCAAGTCATGCATAGGTATTTGTTTCAGGTTTCAGTCCTTCCTCCATTAGCTTCAATTTTTGTCACCAGCATAGCTGCTCAACTGGCTGACTACTTAATTACCAAAGGGGTTGACACCACCAGGGTAAGTGCAACAATTTATATGTGCTTTTAGTTATGAATTTTGATGAATTATGGGCTTTACTATGTGTAAAAAGAAAGTACTATAGTATTTGGTTCCTGGGACAAGATTTTTGCATCTTTTAGAACCCTGGTTTTTGCATGGCTGAACATGAAATTGCATGAAATCCTTGCATGGTATCTGTGTCTGTGGTGGTCCTTACTAAGTGAAGCTAAGAAGCAACGATATGCCGGCAGTGGGTCTTCTAGTTGATTGGAGAGGAAGATGAATACTAGTACGTAAATTCCTGAAAGAGTGGTGAAAAATTATCTTGCCTGTCTCATGGCATACAAGTAACAGGACTAGTTTAAGTGATTCTATCATTATCTCTGACAGAAGTCTACCAGGAGCAGTTAATTTACTTGCTGGTTCTCCTTCTTGTTTATATATGCTTGTGTTATGCTAACAGGTGCGCAAAACTTGCCAAGCAATTTCTTTCCTCTCTCCCGCTTCTTGTATGATTCTTTCCTCTTTGGATTTGGGATTGCCTCCATGGGAGGTTGTAACAATTCTCACTGGAGGTTTAGCGCTTTCAAGTTTTGCATTATCAGGTATTTGATTGATTTCATTTTACTTAAGATTAGGTACTTAGAAAAGATACAGTCTTTTAAAATAATTGGAAAAGTGCTGATTTCTTATATATATATATATTTTGTAAGTGAGAGGACTTGAACCCAAGAACTCTTACTTACAACCCTCCCCCCGGATTTCTTATATTCGTTTCTGGCTTCTAGGTTTATACTGTACCCATCAAGATATTTCACCCGAGTATGCAAGCATACTTTTGGTAAGTGATGTAAACATACTTAAACGTAATTTTTGAATAACCAAATACTGGTGAGGGTTGGAATTGTTAGCTTCAATGCAATCAAGGAAAATACAATTTTCGTTTAGAAAATGTAGGAATAAAATTGAGCTGCAAATCTTGAACTTTTAAAGTTATTCTTTTGGCATGTCAGTTTACAACAGGAGTACCCTATTTCTTCTGTCTCCTGCCTCATTATTGACTTAACAAAGGTGTAACCATAGAGAGAAGCTAGCATCATGATTGCACTTTGTCCTCTGTTTAGTTGGCTTTTATCAGTAATTATTCTAGAGTTATATGATTTGTTTACACAACTTCTTTATTTGATTTTTGAAAAATTTCTTTTCCTTGGTTTTTTTACTGAACACTTTTGGTTCTGCCATCATTTCCACCTCTCACAAGATGTGTTGATAGTTACTTGAGTATTCGAAATAAGATTTGAATTGAGGACTTCCCATCCTCTTGGTCCATGCGGAAAAATCTGGATATCATGCTTTTGACTCAGCGCAACTTACCTCCACTAGCCTTTTACAAGTTCCACCATGAATGATTTCAGATATGATTTTCCAAACCCAGGGTATCACAAACACAGTTGGGGCAGTACCTGGAATTGTTGGTGTTGCTTTGACGGGTTATCTACTTGATTCCACTCACTCATGGAGTGTAAGTTGCCTTGGTAGTTTCCCATTAATTGTGACCATTGCTTAGTCGGTATCTGGGTAACAACATTTTATCTGAATTTTCTTGTTCTCATGGATTGTAGTTGTCATTGTTTGCTCCATCGATATTCTTCTACCTTACGGGTACAGTTGTATGGTTAACATTTGCGAGCAGCAAACCACAAACTTTCTCAAAGAGAGATTGACTCTTATCACTCAGTGCTAGAGGTGATCGGTAACTCTTGATTACTGACATCACATTAACAATTTTGGGAGGACGATTTATGCTGACAATAACATTTTCTGCTGGACAAACATAATTATAGGCCTCTCAGATTTTCCTTTCAAGGTTGATATATTTTGTAAACATATAGTACCAGTAAATCTTGTACATGTCCTTCGCTATAATTAGTTGTGTTTTGCATCTACAAGTTCCTTATTCTATTGAAACTTATTCTGCTCTATCTCTCTCTCTCTCTCTCACTCATATTTTGGTGTTTCTGATTTTCCCCAACTGTGGAGGCCGCTTCTGATGTCACTGGAACAGTGACCATCTGATCGACTCTTGCATAATGTTAGGCACTTTAATTATCACCTCCTTCCGCGATGCGTTCTCCATCGACTGTGCTAATGTTTCTGAGGATAGGGAAAAGGTGGGGAACCTGGAGTGTTGGAACCCATATTAACAAAAAGCATGTTTCTTTTCTTATCAAGAATAATCAAGTAAAGCAGAAAAGCTTGTATTTCTTATCTTAAATGGTTATTTTTCAAATGGAACCAATTTTAGCTCCATCTGTTCTCTCACCTACAATCTATCTGCAAGCCTTTTACCAACAAACATCTGTTTCTCTCACCTAGAATCTAGTTGCAAGCTTGGAGATTAAGGTACTCTATGTGAGCAAATACAATGGAGTAAGGAGCAATATTTATTGGCTCTGAAGCAGGGACAATTTGAGGCTTCAGTTGAGGAATTTCCCCAGAGTTACCCACAGTTAGCTCATTCCCATTTAGCAGCATAGTCCGGCTATGCAAGTCACCACCCTTAGCGGTCAGGTGGTACTCTTCTCTTGTGGCAGATCCTATTTTTCTGGGTTGAGGTAATTGAATGTACTTGGGTCTGGAGTGATGATGCCCGTGTTTGTGTCTGTGGAGTATTGTGCCATTGTATGCCACTCTGACCTGGACAGAATTGCTGCCATCTAGGTTGATCAGCAGCAAAGTGATGCCTTTCTGTAAGAAACATACCCTGTTGTTAGTTAACCAGTTAATGAATTATCGCGGAAAGATCGAATGCTGGAGCGAGCTTACGGATTGCTTTGCACAATGAGCATAGGCACGAATCTTCTTTGTGCCTGTGAAGTTCGTTGCTAAAACGTTTCTTCCCATCAACTGGTGCCAAAGAAGAGCACTGAGGAAGGCAGAATAGAATTTAGCCACAGAGTTATAGTGATGCCAATACAAGAATAATTAAACCGACAGAATGATAAATGTTGTGGACTAACTCTAATTGGTTATGTAAGTGGTATGATTACCTGTAGTAATCTGGATTAGGTACAAAAGTTGTGGTATCGAGCAAGCCGTAGTTTCCCCCAATCAATGACTGCCTGCAGTAAGCCTTTGTATCATAAGCAGATGCCATGCCAAGCTGATCCAGATACCTAGAAGTCATTTCCGCAGAATCGTCAGAGAAAAACAATTTAACATAACCACTTTATATACGCATTTATTAGAAGTTGGAACGACTGCTTGAATACCAGAAGCTGTACACAAATGCGTTCGACACACCGTCTCGGCCGCTGTTGTATGCCCCTCCGGCCTCACCAACCCAAGCAGAGGCAGAAGTCCCAGAATTCTTGAGAACGCCCTTGAGTTTACTAAATGTATCAGCCTCACCATCGAGATACGACGGACTTAGAATCTTTTCAATAAGGTGCTCATCCACTCCTGTTGATGTAAGATTTCGAGTCAAAACAGGACCAAACTATCCTTCCTCAAAAGCCAGTTTTTCCGCTATATTACCTGGTCCTAGATTATATATGTGGTGGGTGGCTGCATTTACAGCGTTGTTGGTCCTGCGCAAAAATTCTGTAAACCAGTTGACATCAAAGAATCCTCCCGGCGCTAAAACAATTGGCTTGTTTGCTACATCCTTGTAGATTTCTTGCACTTTGTTGCGTAATACGATTGTATCAGAAGCATACTGATCAGGTGCAACTCTTGTCCCAACTCCACCGCCGCACAGTTCATTCCCTGGCCAAAATAGATGATGAAAAATTACCATCTGAAACTAATCTCAAGCTATCTAAATAATTTTAAATAGAAAACTATATGAAAACAGAGAAGAAGCATTTCTGCAGCAGGCTAACCATAGAAAGGTAAATGGTATTACCAAGTTCCCAACCATATATGTTGTAGCCCTTTTCAACAGTGTAACGAATAAAAGCTTCAGCATTTGAGGAATCCCAAGCTCCAACAGCTGAACCATCGGACCTTATTCTCCTCCCATTCAGAGCATTCAAACCAAATATAATTTCAGCCCTGGAATGAAGAAAGTGATTCATTAATTTCAGATCCATGACAATAATGAAAAATAATTACCAGTCTAGCCAAGGTGGTGCTTCTTACGTACCCAGATTTCTTGAAAAAGGAGTTTAATTCATCCCATCTGGACGAAGGAAGGCACCCTTGAGTGAAGCCAAACAACTCTGAGGAATTCTTAACAAATGAATGGCAGCGTTGATTACTCTGAGTTTGATATATGACATTATCTTGCAAGGTGCCCCCAAGTCTAATCTTTAATGGTGAAAAAGCTGCAAAATGAGGGGAAGATAGCTACTTGAGCTCCCATAACGGGACTATAACGCTAAAATGCCGTTTTTAATAATCAAGAAAGCCAGAAAAAGTTAATACCTTTTACTGCATTTAATAAAATTATGTTGTCAAGATCCTGCAAATAAAACAACAAACAGATCAAACCAGTCCATTAAACACTAATCTTTTTATTCAAATTGGCCACGGCATATAATAGCCCAGAATCATTTCGGACAATTTGAAATTCGTTAACATCTCTCTCACAACACAATCAAGATCTTTTGGACTTTAATCAAAGAAGGCAAAAAAAAAACAGAGCATAAATGATAAGCGACAAGTATTTTCTCCTTTCCCTTTTACTACTACGTTGCTGAAAGCATCAGAGTGGAATTCGTAGCCATCAAAAAACTTTTCTGACGCACCGGCTAAAGCATAAAAATCGCATCTTTTTAACCGGAAATGAAGTTGAAGCTGAAATATACAGCTCAAACAAGCCATCATCCCCTTGTTATAAAAGACGGCACTGGTTCACGTGGACTAAATCCATCAACAACTTCAGCATACCAACGTAGTAAGCTTGCAGGTAACATTAAAAAAGGCACGCACACACACACAGAGACATAAACATGAAACTCGAAATAGCTGCAAATGCAGGAAAATGGAAAGTACCAGATTGAGAAGGGAAGCATGGTCCCAGCTACAGGTTCCATAGTCACATTTCTCAGGTGGCCACCAATCCAAGGTGGCACAAATGAAACCGTCATCTATTTCTCCAATGGCACTAATCCCATCTACAGATACAAAGCCTTGGGCTGTTCCAGTGTCTTTTACAACCTCAGAGTACGCGAAAATGGAGCTATAACTAAACAAAGACAACCATATACTCAAGCCCACGTAGTACACTACTAAATAACCCATCTTTATGTCTTGAAGCTAATCTTCAAGATCTATCCCCCAGAAGAAAATGCTTAGTTGGAATGCTACAATTTTTACTCCATTGCAGGGCTCGTTGGGAAGTTTATGATAGTAAAAGAGAGGATAACAATTAGCAGAGATAGGAGGTATTAAGCTGAGGTGACATTAAATGAGTTATACATGCCCAAGAAAGCAAATTTACAGATAATTTATACTAAAGGCCCCCAATCCTTTTTGGGACTGAGGCTATTTAAATAGAAGGTACAAGAAAAATTCAAGATTTACAGCTTGGGTTCTCAGTAAGAAATTTGAGGCATCTCTAATTGGGCAAATCAGTTGGGGAGTGGGGCCATTGTGGATGTGCTTTGCTTGAGAAAGGTGGAGAAGGATTGCTGGAGTGTTGGACAAAAGATAAGCACAGTTTTGAGTTGGGGAGGTGTGAGTTGGGGTCCATTCATTGGTCTGGGGTCAAGGACAAGGATTGGGTGGATTCTTGATTCAACACACAACTGAATGGACCCAGAGCATCATCAATCATCGAGTCTTGCTACTACCGCAAAATGCTATCATCCGCATGCTTGAAAATTTCGGGTGGATTTGGTGACACAATAAGAAAGGTCGAATCTCGGATAAAGATGTAGTCATGTAGTACATATGAGGAAAACGAACATTTCTTTACTTTTTCTTGCAGAATTACCTACATAGTAAGTGAAAGAACCGCGCTGCTTCGACTGAATCTTGTAGTTTTTTTTTTTTTTGAGCTGAATCTTGTAGTTTGTAGTTCCTTTTGCCAATAGTTCCAAGAAAAATCATTCAAAAGTGACTTGGAGTTTATTTGGTTATTAGCTTAAGACCTTGTAAGGAGACGAACAGCAAACATAAGAGTGATTAAACAAAAACGAGTACAAAAAAAAGGCGACTATTAATTGTTTCCACCATTATGTGTTAGTTGCAAATTAGCAAAACAAAAAAAAAAATAGTTCAAATGAAAAGGGAAAATGAAGTTCAAAATTTTTTGATGTTGACTACTTATTAGTATTCCTATCGCTTTTCATCATTATTAATCCTATTTATAGAAGAATAATCTTGAAGCAACGAGACACAAACAACAGCAGAATCCAAAGTATGACAGTGGCCTCCACCTCCTTGCATTAGAAAATACAGAGCAGATTAGGAGGACCTGGAAATTTTTTATATAGGTGTCAACTCATGGTGAAATATTTACATAACAAAATGATTATGGGTCAAAATCATAGACTGCATTAGCAACAGAACATTTAAACTAATGGGACGAAAAAAATTACTGGCAAGTGATTGTACGCTCACTCAATTAATGCAACCCTTTATGGTACGCGACACAGCCCGTGAATATGTTCATATAATTGCCTACAAAGTACAAACAAACGCAATTCTGCTGCAAAATTTTCACCACCTAAATTGGATGGAAAAACTTAGGAGGCAAATTTACATATTTAGCTGCTCTAGAGTCCAGACTTGCTCTAGAGTGGGATTAGTCGAGCCCCGTAAGGATTTACCCGGACACCCACTCCGTCAGCAAAAACAAAAAACAAAAAAAAAAATCCAGACTTGCAAAGTTCAAAATTTCCGGAATTCCTTGAATCTGTCATAATTTTAGGCAACCGAGAAAGAAACTACCAGAACCTAATCCATTAGAATTAGCGGAGGAAAATCCTATCCTTTCTTTATTTGGTGGAAACTTGTGTTTCTTCCAACTCCC